GCTATGTACACATATTCATCTAGGAGGTCGAGGAAACAAGCAACTTGCTTGGGACAAATGCTGAACCTTGTACTATTAGCATGATGCAACAAGAAGAAGCTGATTTTGAGAGCGAGGATGAATGCAAAATACCCTTGATCGTATTCTCCCCACCAAATCATGCACAGGTAAATGAAATTTTATAACGCAGTAATTTTCAAGGAGTTATAATAACTCCTCTAGTGGGGCTAATTTAACTCCTTACAGTGGAGTTATTTTTTGGGGAGTTATCTTAACTCCAAAAGGGAGTTTAAAAAACTCTTTTTTCAGGAATAAAAGTGATCCGAGATATTGAGGAGTTAAAATAGCCCCAAAAAAGGAGTTATCCTGTACCTAAATTTTTTACTCCACTTTCAGAGTTAAATTAACTCCAAAAAGAGTATAAACAACCCATATAAGAAGTAAAAGTAACCCCATGTCGGAGTTATTTTAACTCCAGACTGGTAGTAAAAAAGAACTCTTTTTCAGGAGTAAAAATTACGCCAAATTCGGAGTTAAATTAGGAGTTAAAATAACTCCAAAAAAGAGTTTATCCTGTACCTAAAATTTTTACTCCATTTTCGGAGTTATAATAACTCCCTAAAAACTACGGTGAAGTTATGGACAAAACGTTTATTATATCAGCTCCTCGTCCTCAAAAAATCGTTCCCCTTTTTCAAACATTTGTAGGTTTGTAAACGCTTAACGCACTTCCAAAATTATCGTAGAATCATTGATTTTGATTTAGCATTGCGCTATACAAAGTTATCATGTTTCAGGGCCAAAACACCAGAATTGGGAAGTGTTTCGTCAAAGGCATAACCGACAATCTAAGCGCCATCCAGTCTTCTATGATTGACTTCTAACTACTTAGGATACGGTCATGTTATGCCATCTCTAAATGGCATAAGTTCTTTACGTTTGACTTAAAATTCAGTAGCAACTCACATAATGATATCTACAAGGTGCATGTTAAGGGTAGTGTTTCGCGTATAAACATCCTCACTGAATCAATATACGGTAAATCCTCTATAAAGCCCGTCAGAGGATGCTGTGATTTATTATTTTTTTAAAGCACGTGTCAGGGGGGTAGTTAGGAGAGAGGGGGGCTTATTTAATTTAGAAAATGATTATCGATGATATCAGTCTTTGATAAAGGGCTAGAGTGCCAAGTGGAGAAAGCTCAAGTATTTGAATTTGGAGGTCAAGTAACTAAAGATCAAGAACAAATTCGAGCTTCGATTCCAGCACGTGAATGAAATAAACCATACCAGTTCAGTACACATGAAGTGCTTTACAGCTGTGACTTATCAATACAGTCCATTTGTTACTATGATTTATCACGTGCACTATTTAGAATACAGAGGGAATTCAAAACAGAACAAATAAATCCGAAGCAAGTGAGGGACCCTCAAGTTTTCCTGACGGCAAGATAGAGCAAAGAGGAGGTGGTTTTGACGATGACGATCAATGCAAAATCCCGATGACAGTGTTCTGGTCGTCGATCCATGAAGAGAATGCTGCACCAAAGACAGACGACAAAGAGTGTGATAACGATTGTGAGACATTTCATCCAACTGACGCGATGTCCTTTGCGTGGCAGATAACACGAGGAATGGTGGGTTGTCTCTCTTGAAAAAACATGACCTGTTACAGAGCTGCCGCAGTACAATTTTCTAATTTTACAGATCAAATAAAGTTGTATAGTTTTAATTTAAACCTGTTGTAAAGATAGTATTACAGAAAATGAACGTATTTCGGAACAAAAACAAAAAAGATTCCATCGTCCGTTAGTTTGTGTGTTGTTGTATATTTTGACATACTTTTTTATCAAGGATGACTTTAACTTCCAAAGAACGGAAAGCAAAAATAGGAACCTTGCTATTGAAGTCTACAATTATGATGAAAATGATTCAATGCGCCACCAACAGCGTCATTTACGGTTTCACGACTTGTGCCGATTAAAACTGGTACTTTTTCTTTTTCTTTTTTATTTTTGACTAAAGAACCATTTTTGGCCTCTATCAAACTAGCAAATTGTTATATCCAATTACTTTATATCTCATTCACGTACATTTGCACTAATTGGGTGTACACTTTTCAGAGCTACCTCTCTGAGAAGGGCTTAGTTCACAGAGATCTGGCAGCGAGAAACGTTCTTGTCGGACACGGTAAAAAACTCAAGATTGGAGACTTTGGTTTGATGCGAGAAATGTATCATGAACTGTATGAAGTTAAGAAGCAAAAGAAACTGCCCATCAAGTGGTTGGCACCAGAGGCCGTTTTTGAGCAGATCTTTACTTCCAAAAGCGACGTGTATGTACTATATTCAACATATAATACAGCCGAGTATAAATTAGTAAAACACCGATTTAAAGTAACTTTGCGTGTGTGTGTGTGAGTGTGCGCCGCTGTTTAAGGCTTTTGTATGAGTATATATCGAACTTAGGAGTAAATAATTCCCGGATTGCGTTGATTCAAAAATGTTCCTCTAATTGTGAATTCACCCGTCCCGTTTTCATTCGATTTCTTACCTCGCCATAAGCAAATCTTAAATACTAGAAAAAAAACATATTTCGCTACATGTACGCCATGATATGATTTAAACCAATCGTAATACAGTAGCAACACTAGTCTTGGGAAGCGTTATTCAAGCTCTACGTTTTGTGCCCATAATACAACATTTTAAGCTCATTTATCTTATTTTATCTCATATTATTCTTTATCATTTTAGGTGGTCATATGGAATCGTTATGTGGGAAATTGCAACCTTAGGTAATAGTCTAACTTTCACTTACTTTGCCTCCTGCGTAGCTTGCGTATACGTGTGTTTATTTATTTATTTAGGAAGGGGGCAGCACCGAGTGGTGCGTTTTCGCTCCCCTCCTTTGTCCTTTCCCATCAGAACCACTCGCTTGCGTTGAATTTATAAACCTTAGTCATCTTTCAACGCCGGGATGGTTGAAGTCATGATGACTGGGGAGAGGTTTTGAAGAAATTCTACCTGCGAGGGGCTGGAAAAGAAGAAAGACAAGAAACTGAATAGGTTCCTTTATCATTTTTAAACTTTAAATTCACCACATGACTTTCAAGAAGCAAAGATTGGATAATTCTATAACCTTTGCAAGCCTAAGGCACGCGTCCTAATCGGTCATTGAAGCAACAGAATAGTTTCCATCAGTATCTACTGAACACTGAGTTAAGTCAGTAGATCTCCGCCTGTATTCTATACTAAAAGAAATCATAAGTGGCGAGCCAATCTTTTTTTATTGCAGGAGGTTCGCCTTATCCACTTCTTAACAACGCTGAGGTCATGAGTCTCCACCGAACCGGACACCGAATGCAAAAACCTGACTTGTGTTCGGACAACTTGTAAGCCATTAGAATTCCTAGACATCATTCAAAATACTTTTCGTTTGTAATGACATCATTTTCTCCGCTATCTACGAAGCTTTTAAAAATAGGTTCCAAAATTATACAGTTTTTATCAGAAAAGGTCCGTGTATGGCCGATTCGCTTGTCTAAAAATTAATAAATTCGCAGTTTGCACTAAAAATGGCTGGACACGGCAAGCTTGCGAAAACAGTCCTCGTCGCCCCTAGGGACGTTTCTTGCGCGCGGCACAACTTTAGGGTGGGACACGAGATGCCCCTAAAGGTATCATGTCTGTTAACTGCAGCAGCCCATTGCTACCCACTTTTGTAAAAACGGGCTTTAAGAAAATCTGACAGCACCCTCTAGGGCTGGTATCTATCCCATCCTTGTTCGTCTGAGGGTTAAATAAAATGACTGTATTTTGTTATCTGGTAGCTACGCCTTTATGATGGACTGCTGGAAACAGAACCCGGATGAACGACCAAGTTTTCGGGAGCTCGTTGAAAGGCTGGAAAGAACCATGACTGAGCAAGTAGAATACCTTGATCTGAAACAGTTGGACGAGACTAAAGCGTACTATCAAGTGCAAGAGCCCAAAACGGGCGAAATAGTTGGCGACAGCGGGCTTGGCATGCACAGAGCTGCTTCGTCAATTTCAATCGCTCTTTAGGTTAGACCTTCCATCCTTAAACAGAAGCCTGGCCGGGCATGTTCCAGTTAATAAGTAACTTCAAGTCAAAGGGTTTGGTTAGCTCAAACATTTAATTCTAACTTAAGAGTCGTTCCTTACAAAAGTAGATTGCTTGTGACGGTTAAACCAGTTTTTGGTAGGCTTAAGTTTTATGGTCGATTTAATTTAGGTGCACTAATCGATTTTAAAAAAATTATTTATATGCTAACCTGATTTAAAACAGTTTTTTATCCAAAATAGCGGCTTTTAAATTTGAACGAAACACCCCAAAGTGTTTAAGAGAGATTTAAAAAATAAGATTTAGAAGTGTATCACAGAAAGCAACCCCTAATTGTTTTAGATTTAATTGCCATAGCTTATACAAGAGTAGATTTTAGCTGAAAATCTAAATCTGAACCTCCATTCGGGTTTGATGTGAAAAATTTGATTTTTGGATTCAGTACTGAAATTCAAAATAAAATATAATTTTTAGAGTCACACATTAATACTTTACTAGAAGATATAAAACGCTTGTGTGTGTGTTTTTTTTTTGTCTGCTTTTTTGTAATTATAGTGTGTGGCCATTCACCTTTTTCACATAGACCATTATGCACCTTCTTGACCTTTGAACATTTTACATAACTGTTGTCTTCTATTTCGGCTGTAATACCCAGGAGTAAATGAAAATTTATTTATTTATTTATTTGGGGTGGGGGGAGGGGGGCGGAGAGGGGAGAACAAGGTGCATTACGGTCTATGTAAAATGGTGACTTATTCATTCAGTCTCAACTCAAATTTTATCTCGTGTACCGCCTGTGGCAAAGTTAACCTTAAATTGTGTGGAAACTACAAAAATTAAAACTAAGAAATAAAAGCAGTCTTAACCAACCAAGTTTGTCCCTGATGTCTTTTATTTTGTGTATGAAAAGTTCTGAATCAGGGTTTTAAAGCAAGAGAAACATGCTTCTACTTAAGAAAACATTCAGCCACAAAAACACGCTCTTGACTTTTAATTTTGGTCATAGAAATTTGTTAAGAGGAGACTGGTTATAAAACTTGACAAACTTTTTACCGATACGGCGGCCATATTGAATAAGTTAGATTTAACTGTGAGATGCCCTGGAGGCATGAGCACATTCCGTTTAGTATTCACGAGCGCCTTTTGGGGTATTTTTTCTTTATCGTTTCTTAGAATAAGATTGTAGCGGGAGAAAAAGATCATTGTGCCGTGTTTGGGTGTAATAATGATCGCCTTTTCCCGAGAAATACTAAACACTGAAAGACCATATTTCTAATACTAATTGAGTACTACGGATCGTGCTTATGCCCCCTGTGCTGTAATTTATGTTGGAAGCTCCCTGACCGTTGACAATCCTTTGTTTTGTTAACAAATTGTGACTGAAAATAAATTAATGCATAGCTTCTAGTGGTCGCTAAGTTCAAAATGACAGGAATTCTGTGCAGGGTCAGGTCCATAAAAGCTAACAAAAACATATTTCTGTTTCTCTTTTCTCTTACCAGTATATGGCTCCTTCTACGGCTCAATAGAAAAAAATCTGGCAAACACTGTCAAAACAGCGCGCCAGATAAAGGGACTTTAAGATCCAACGGCACGATGGCGACGAGAACGTCGGTTAAAAAGTAAATTTGCGTTCTTCCAGTCTTTATAGCAATTAATTATTCCTACCCACTTTTTCAACGGAGAACCCTCCAAAATTTGAATTCTTGGTGACCATAACAGTTCGCGAACATGGACTCAGGGGATGCGGGTAATCAATATTGCATGACGAAGTATGGATCTTCCTACCCTCAGATAGTCTACTGATTACACGTGAGCGGTGTTTGGAGTTATCCAATAGGCCATTTTCACGATGACGATGTTTGACTACAACTACAAGAATTCATTTCGTCTTTGCTTTCTTATTTAAATTTGTCAATTCCACTGAGCTTTAAAGAACAATAGCCTTAATTCGCACAAGAAAACAGCAAACTGAAGGATTCTGGTAGTTGTAATAAAACGACGACATCGTGCAATTGTCCTATAGAGCGTTTTCACTCACGTGGCCAGCATCCATGCTAATTTATTGGAACAAAAGAAAGCATTTACATGAGAAAAGAGTTCAACTCCCAGAGGATTTTCTGGGTCCACCGACATCGCCACAGTTTCGTTGTTTTGGAACACCAATATGGCCGCAGTGACGTCATTAATTTTATAATTAAATTAACAACTTTTGTTCATGTTTTATAAGGTTTTGTGAGTGATTAAATAAATAAATGTGAAAACGCTCTATTGAAAGCAAAAATTTTCGCGTTCACCGTGCAACGCGTAGTCATCGAGGTTCCCGAGCGCACGTCAGAGACCCCAGAAACAAAAAATTTCAAAAAATGTCCCCCCAAAAAAACACATCGCAATACCTAAAGGAATAAGAGATACTTACCTGGCCTAACAGGATTTGGCGGTTTCATAGCGAATCGGTCCGCCGACCCTTGCTGCAGGAGAGATTTAATTTTTTGTGAGTTAAGACTGGACACAGTAACCTGCCTTGCTTCGATTTACGTAGGAAAACAACACCAAACAACCAAAGAGCGTCAAAACCGTGTAAAATGGTGATGAATTAAGTCTAGATAACACAGGAAAAGCAACAACAGGTCCAAGTTTACGTAAGTAAAATTTATTTCCACATTTACGCCTATATTTCTAGGTTTTCACAACAAAATCGAAATTCTCATATAAAGTCTTTAAATCGTTCGTAAAATGCAAAACAGTTTGAAACACGCGGTAATTTATGCACCGAGCTTGGGTCGCCTTTGTCCGGTGTGTGGCTTGCCACTGAAAGAGCTTATAAAGAGGGATATTTGCAATTACATCTCCCGTTCTGTCGCTTAATTCTGCAGCTGAAAACAGCCCGCTAAGACTTTTTAGTAACTTCCTAGGTAGGCGCTTCCTTACCGAAGGTGTCGTAATTTTAATAATTGCCAAACACATTTAGGTAAAAGCATTTATTAAAATAAGACGCAGTTGACATTAATTTTACCTGCTTATGCTGTTCCTATGCCAATTCAAGGCATTCTCATTAATGCTAGCACGAAAGATCTTTAAAAAGATGCACGCTTTTTATGTAATAATGTAAGAAATATCAAGGTAAATTTGACTTCTTCTTTGTTAAGTACTGACACTTTCAATTGACCGTCCTCTGTGAAAAATCAAGCGGGTAAGTAAACTGTAAAATCTCCTGATTGTTCATTCCTAAAATTTTCGAGTACAGTCGTGCTGTGTTAATTTCCCCAATACAGTATTATATTTGCAGCGAGGTACATTTTTTGCGTTTATATCAGACTAAAAACGTGAGCATTCGATTATGCGATGAATTTTTACAACGAGAACCGACACAGGGGACACCCAACGACAATTTTCGGGAACTATCTGTTCGGAAGACGATTTGAGATCTAGAATTTTCGGAACATTTGTTGTAAAATTACTTGCTTGCCAGCCTCTCCTAGTATTTTCGAACATCTAAAAAATGGTCTAATTGCCTATTTTTAACGGATTTTTACCCTAAAAAAGTCACCTAGAATTTTTGGGAGCCTTTTTTCTGGCTGGAATTTTCGAAAAGGTATGTTTTGATCCCTATAATTTTCGGATCACTAGACTTTCAGCTAGGAAATCCGAACAGATCAAAAATTTTTAGGGGATTAAAATATGCCTATATCTACCGTTTAAATACTAAAATACGTTTAACAATGCTATGTTTAAGTGGTTTTGAACTATATTCTCGTTGGGTGCCCCTGACGACAAAGGATTGGGGTTTTGGCCGACACCTATTGCATATTAGCGAATAATTTAATTCTTGCTAGGACTATTTGGAAAACAGCAGCGAAAGAAAGGCGGATTTTGTTGTATATTAGGATTAGCAATGCGAAATATGACACTTAAAATTGAAGGCAAGGCTGATCAAACAGCTCAGGACTACAATTGTTTTGCTCAATATTCCGACTAGACAAAACTGGTCTTCATCAGGGGCTAGAAAAGCTAAGTAGCCCCTGATGAAGACTAGTTTTGCCTAGTCGATATATTGGGCTCATAAATTTGTAACCCTTAGCTGTCTGATCAACCTATTGCAAATCCAACCTTAGCACACAATCATTTCCCCCTTTTTTGGTTTTTGTTTTTTGTTTGTTTCGTTTACGATTTAGCGTTGCCCCTTATACTTAACCACTACGAATTTTATTTCATCAGATGTCTCAATGCTTCTTGCTACCCAATGCTTCCTTCGACATTTTAAAATTTCATTTAAATAATTAAAGAGTTGACTTGAAAGGCATTCCAATGCAAATTGTTCTCCGTGGCTGTTAAATGGGGTAGATTTTTACGAAATAAATATTGGTTAAGTTTGACATGTTACGTTTTTAATCGGCGGATATACAGCGTTTTACAATTCTGCTGAAACAAATTACGATTACGGCTGTAACTATGGTTGTGATGACACTCTGGTAAAAATAATAAGCTGATATTTTTTCTCCTGCGCTTTAAAACGGGTCACACATTAAGGAGGTGTTTTCTGTCGTGAATTGTCGTAATGTCGTTAATTATAATACCGGTCGTAAAAATTGTAACACCTGTCGTAAATTGTAATAACCGTCGTCGAGAATTCAGATAACCAGGCTATCGCTATCGTAAATTGTTATAACACGCCGGGTGTCGTAATTTGTAATAAGCCGAGCTGTCGTGAATTGTTATAACACATTGTGGTATTTTGTAGTAAGTGTTAAAGTTGATGTTAAGGCTTATCTACAGCAATTTTCTTGTCAGTCAGTTTTAAAAAAATTTACCCAAAACACGTAAGCCATCATTTAGCCAGCAATAATAACAAAACCTAAATCACCTGACCGACCACCTAATGAATTTATTTGAAACAGCCATCAACCAACATACCGACCAACTACGGCGTCCCTACAACTTCCATCATCTAGATTACATTTGGGGCCATTTAAAAAATTATGGGGAGCGGGAGGGGGTGGGTAGGGACATTGCGAACTGCATGACTAGCACATTTTTAATATTTTGATGGCAAAAGTAAAAAAAAAGGGGCGATATTAACTAGCGATAAATTTAAAAGGTTTTGCATAGCAACCCTTTCAACTATGACTGGGAGGCAAGGTGTGTTATCCCTCCAATTGTTTTTCGGCCTCTACAATCACTAATTTCAATAATTAATGGCTGAAACTAATTTTTATATGCTCTTTTAGTTCCTGCTAAACTAATTTTCTAGAAAAAAGGTGTTTTCATGTTTACAGAAAGTTGATCACGTGCCCTGCAACCATAGTACTAGATTACCTCGTTCCTAGGATTCTCTCTCTTGCTTCGAGAAAAAACCCTGCTTGCGGCTAGTCACGTGGCTCCATCTTTTCCTTTTCCTGAACTGCACCTTTGGAGCATGCAAATGTATGAAAAGCTGATTTTGCACGAGCAAATTGAGGTTGCCTACTAAAAAGGCTTATTAATTTGGGCCGTTCGGCGAGCTTGAAAAACTGCAATATGTACGTCTTTTCGAGCAGACTTCGGTGACGTCACGTGCTAGGCAACGAAAAATTTTTCCATAATCGAATTTCAACAATGTTCGTTTGTTTAAAAGAAAATCACGGTAAGAATTCGGGAAGTGAACTTCAAAACTTTTCCGTAAACAATAATGCTAAATCATTTGCTGCGCTTGGGGATAAATGCCACGCAAAATATTGTTTGCTTTGATGCACTCTGAAACGTAACGCCGCCTCCAAGTGAAAGGAAAGTTATAAACTTGACAACAAGGAACGGGAAATAGAGACCAGGAACGGAAAAACTCAGCAAGACATCAATAGTGTTAGGTAGGGCGTTTATAGCTTAAAACCTAGTCTAATTTTAAGAACCTTAATGCGGAGCTCTTATCTGAGCTGTATTCTTGCTTAAACAAAACTAGCCCTGTTTCTAACAAATTAACTCTAGCCTCAGTCACAATACAACAGGGAATGCCTAATCCCATCCCTAGCATATTTTGAACTTTAGAGAAAATATCGTTGGTCGAGCTCATTTCAGGTCCCCATTTCCAATTTCCTGTTCCATATTCTTGATNCCACGCAAAATATTGTTTGCTTTGATGCACTCTGAAACGTAACGCCGCCTCCAAGTGAAAGGAAAGTTATAAACTTGACAACAAGGAACGGGAAATAGAGACCAGGAACGGAAAAACTCAGCAAGACATCAATAGTGTTAGGTAGGGCGTTTATAGCTTAAAACCTAGTCTAATTTTAAGAACCTTAATGCGGAGCTCTTATCTGAGCTGTATTCTTGCTTAAACAAAACTAGCCCTGTTTCTAACAAATTAACTCTAGCCTCAGTCACAATACAACAGGGAATGCCTAATCCCATCCCTAGCATATTTTGAACTTTAGAGAAAATATCGTTGGTCGAGCTCATTTCAGGTCCCCATTTCCAATTTCCTGTTCCATATTCTTGATTTCAGTGGCATTCAATGGGGGTGAGTTTCCCACGGTATAAAGTCAGGGCAAAGACCGATCTTTGTTAATTTTTTTTTGTGTCCTGGTATCAAGATGGCTTGATGGAACGTTTAGTTAGCCTACACTGAATTTTTCAGGAAGAAAGGTGATAAAGAGATCCTCTATGTCAGCTGTCTTTGACGAGGCGAAATCGGTTGGCTGTAAGAAGCTGTGAAATCATGCCGCTAATAGTTATACGGGTTTCAGTGAGATGCAGATAATTCATGTCACGAGTGGTGAATTCAAATATCGCGTTCACAACGTTAAGTTTACCAATAAGGCAGTTCCCAAACCGGTCTTTGCAAAACATGTCCAGTCTCAACATCAGATTGACGTAATTGATCTAAGAAAGGATCCGGTCAAGAACAAAGGCAAGTTATATAAGAAAGTTTTATCAGTGAAAGGTTTGAACCCCGGAGTCATTACAAAAGGTTGAGTTTGATCGTCCGGGTGAACGTAGTCCTGAATAGGACTGTTGTTGTTGACAGTGACTGACGTTTCGACAACCTGTGCCGTAGTTATCTTCAGAGTCAAAGTGAGTTGTATCACGTCAGTTGATGGTATCATACTCTGGTTATTGATCTGATTGGCCAATTATGTCGCGATGTTATTAGTCGTCTGTCAGTTAAGTCGTGATGTTATTGGCTATGAAGACTCGTAATCAGTGATTGGTGCGTTTCGATCCGTCTATTATCACAGTTAAACAGTCGTCTATTGTTAATCAAATTGCCAGTTCTCCAGTTGTTCTCTCGTAGTTAGTTTTGCTTGATCTCGAGATCAACTACATCCTATGGAAAAAAAGTCAAGCGACCAGGTTGTACGACTTTTGTGACCGATATATGATCAACACGGACCACCTGACCGCCTTCAAAGGGACCGAGGCCCAGGATTTGAAGGAAAAGTGCTCTCTCTCTGGAAACACTTTAAAATCAAAATGATAAAGTCAAGAACCTATCATTCACAATTTCAGGGAAACGTGGAACGATCACACAGGAGATTAAGAAAAGAGATCAAGTATGATTCCATTAAACTGGGCAAGAAAGGGTTAAATTGTGTGGCTAATCTTGGTGCTTATAGCCGTATCCTAAACGACTAAAGCAAAGAAGAATTGGGATGGAAAAGCCCATACGAAATTTACTTTGGGCGGAAATCAAATACTTTGATCCAAGCATCCTTAGACAAAGAAGCTGAGCAGAAATAGATAATTGCATCACCAAAGCCCCCAGCCGAAAGGCATACAAATACCATTCTAATAACAGCAAGAAACGGCGGAAAAGAACATATCTCTCCACTAAGAGATTGAATTCCAGAATGGTAAAGCGCTACGCTCGAGTTAATAATGCTCCAGCCTACAAAACTGACGATAAGGTCTTGGTCCGCTACCGCCCACGACGGAGAGGAAGCATTCCACCTAAAGGACACATAATTATCGAAGGAACAATCGTGAAGAAAAGTAAAAATAATCCAGCTTACATGGTTAGAATAATGCTACCCAACGGATCAGAGATAGAAATAGATGAATAGGTGTCCACAGATCGAAGATCTTGCAGATCCTTCTAGCAAGACTGAAAAACAAAAGAGACTGAATAAAGAAAAACGGCGAAAATTGAACAATTGCGAAAAAAGATGTATGTTCCTTTAACAAGAAAAGATCACCTTGATTCATTCTCTGAACTTGGGTATTCAGTAGTTTATAATCCACAAGGTGATGGGAACAGTCAGTTTGATGCATTAAGGTACTGGCTTAAAAGACTTTGCATATATCGCCCTATTGAATCTATTTGTGATCTTTATCACCTCTTGAACTGTGTTGTGGGGTAGTTACATCTCCCTTACGGGAACCTCATAAAGCGGTGATACGGTACCCTATTAATGGATCTCCGTTACCGTTCCTTCAGTGTTCATGGTGACCATATAACGCTGAAAGCTCAGCTGATATATTTATCGGTGTGTGGCTTGCCACTGAAAGAGCTTATAAAGAGGGATATTAGCAATTACATCTCTAGTTCTGTCGCTTAATTCTGCAGCTGAAAACAGCCCGCTAAGACTTTTTAGTAACTTCTTAGGTAGGCGCTTCCTTACCGAAAGTGTCGTAATTTTAATAATTGCCAAACACATTTAGGTAAAAGCATTTATTAAAATAAGACCCAGTTGACACTGATTTTACCTGCTTATGCTGTTCTTATGCCAATTCAAGGCATTCTCATTAATGCTAGCACGAAAGATCTTTAAAAAGATGCACGCTTTTTCCAATGTAAGAAATATCAAGGAAAACAGCAGCGAAAGAAAGGCGGATTTTGTTGTATATCAGGATTAGCAATGCGAAATATGACACTTAAAATTGAAGGCAAGGCTGATCAAACAGCTCAGGACTACAATTGTTTTGCTCAATATTCCGACTAGACAAAACTAGTCTTCATCAGGGGCTAGAAAAGCTAAGTAGCCCCTGATGAAGACTAGTTTTGCCTAGTCGATATATTGGGCTCATAAGTTTGTAACCCTTAGCTGTCTGATCAACCTATTAATTGCAAATCCAACCTTAGCACACAGTCATTTCCTCCTTTTTTGTTTTTTTGTTTTTTTGTTTTTTTGTTTGTTTCGTTTACGATTTAGCGTTGCCCCTTCTACTTAATCACTACGAATTTTATTTAATCAGATGTCTCAATGCTTCTTGCTACCTAATGCTTCCTTCGACATTGTAAAATTTCATTTAAATAATTGAAGAGTTGACTTGAAAGGCACTGCAATGCGAATTGTTCTCTGTGGCTGTTAAATGGGGTAGATTTTTACTAGATAAATATTAGTTACGTTTATTACGTTTTTAATCGGCGAATATACAGCGTTTTACAATTCTGCTGAAATAAATTACGATTACGGTTGTAACTATGGTTGTGATGACACTCTGGTAAAAATAATAGGCTGATATTTTTTCTCCTGCGCTTTAAAACGGGTCACACAATAAGGAGGTGTTTTCTGTCGTGACCGCCCTATTGAATCTATTTGTGATGAAATAGTGGAGAACTTGACACAACACCCCATCAATGTAGAGGGAATGCCCTTGGAGTATTTCGCCACTATGCCATGGGATAATTACCTAGAGGCAATGGCAAGGAACAGTGTTCATGGTGACCATATAACCCTGAAAGCTCAGCTGGTATATTTAATATTAAGATTCTTGTTCTCTCGTCAATTGGTCCTGATGTAACAATGGTAATTTCGCCAACAACAAGCATCCTGATGGCAAGGATTCAACTTGATCAGTTTGTTGAGGGGGTTGGTGAACACTATTTGTGTGTTGAGGGATATAACAGTCGTACGAGGAGAACATTATAATTTTTATGTCCAAGAACACTGCGGAGAGGGTAATTTCACTATTTATGATAATGATGATCAAATCAAGTGAAACGATCAGTCAAACCCACAAGAAGACAACAAGTTGAGGAAAAAGAACAAGAGGTATGCGATCGGGTAGTCAGTAATGAACTTTCAGGAGTGAAGATATTGTCCCAACAATGCACCAACAATTGTAACAACCTGCCAGAGGTTATACTTCCAACGGTAATTATATACCCTGATGACCGAAATGGTAGTTAATTCATCAGGATTCTCTTGACCGAACCATATTTGTTTTGCGGACAACCAAATCTTCAACGTCAATAGACGGTTCCGTGCATGTGTCAAGAGGATGTGCCACAGACTTTCAAGGATACATTTTCCACTGGGTGACGCCGGCCACATTTGTGTTACATGGTTGATTCGACAGTAAGGCTCAAATACTCGAAGTAAGACGAGTCATCTCCCA